AAATTCAGGTGTTATGCAGGTATTCTGCTTTCAATTTAGGGTTGAGACATAGTGCACTTCAGGTTTGACAGCTGACATCCCCATCACTCACAGCACTCATGCTTCACTTCACATCATTACTACCAACTTAGCCGCTGACGTTCTACATTTATAAAACTTTTTCTAGAGCTTTTACCGTGGGAGTGGACCGCCCAAGTGTCATCTAGAAGACGCATATTTTTCTCTCGACGCACGCACTCCTCAAACTCTACTTGAACAGTCACAGAGCAGCTGCACCTGTTAATCAGCTGATTGCACATGTGCAGTCTTGTTCTTGTGTTTTGTGCACTGAGACACACGCTGCAGTTTCATGCCATATCATGTCGTACTTGTCTAGTAATTTTCTCCAAAATCATATTAATTCTAAACTTTAATTCTAAACTCTAAATTTAGTTATTTTGGCCGAACAAAAATACCAAACACGACAACTACTAATACAGGTGACTGATACACGTTTCTTTTCCTAATCTAACAACAAGGACTCTCCACTCACAACAATCTAAAGGGTTTTCATTCTTTCTCATCTTTCCTGAAAATCTTTTGTATTCTAACTCCAGAAGAACAGAACAAAGCCTTTCATTTCCTCGCTAACTCACATATCTAACAAAGCTGATCCTGCTCATCACTAATATCCTGTTTTTAGATCAAATACAACCATTTTCCACATATATAATCGTTACATGAAAGCTGGAATCAGTCCACTTTTAAGCAATTAATCAAGCAGCTTAATTGGATGTGAAAAGTGTTTAGAACAGAGTAAGATTTAATAAAATGTCATCAAACTGCCCCCCGGCACACCTGCTCCCCAACCCTGTTCTCACATACGCTTTCACACTGTTGCTGCTCTCTGGTTACTTTGTGCTATAAATGTAAAGTGACGTTTTTCCTCACATTGGTTCTCTCTCTCTCTCTCACACACACACACACACACACCTCCTCCTCCTCCTCACATAGAGCGACACATCTAAAGGCAGGTACATGTCAGCTCTGCTCTCCCCATTCATGATGTGAGCATTTGAGTTGAACGTGGGTCTTTGTGCGTACCATTTTTGCAGCTTCGTCCAGGTCGTCGCAGGCCAGGATTTTCAGCGGACTGGCAGCAATCAGAGCTTTGGCATCGTCCACTCTTGTTCCTGAGAACAAACAAAAAAAATACATGGAAAAAAGTGAGTTTTTCAAAACAGCAGTACCTTTGGCCACCCTACAGCTGTGACACTGTCAGAACTGATAGAGTTTCTTGATACGGCAAACATTCATTTGGATGCTGTTGAATGTTTTTGAACCTCGAGGAAGCTAATAACCTCCTTGTGGTTTTCTGTGGACACCTGTGCCTCCTGTACTGTCCACCTTCAGACCACAGTTTCCATTTGCACTCGGGAAAAACAAAGATGAATGTCTAAAAGGTCTTTCCAGAAGTTTGGAGAGCTGATGAAATTTCTTTGATGAAAAAGAAAATGTTCACCGGACCAAAGTGAAAACTCAATTTCCCTAAAACTGCCCTATAACCTCCCAGCAGACAGTTTTTATTAAAGCTGCTGTCAGACAGCAAGCCGTTGCCTCCTCCTTTGTTTGGTGGATGCCTTCACACTTCATGGTCCAACTTTTTTCAGCTTGCCTCTGTGGCTTGGTGTGCAGCCATGGCAACCACAGATACAACCATAGGGGAAAAATGGTAACGGAGGCTTATTTTACAGGTACTTTGTCAGCAAAAAGAAGACAAATCAATGGAGATTAACAACATCTGCTTTAGTGCCTGATTATACAGACAGACCTCACAACCCAGAAAAGAATTACAAACAGAGCAAAGCAGACACATCCATTACAGAATTAACCACTGACACAAATACACAAACCCATGAATCCAGGATAAACCAGGAAGCAGTCTTAGACACAAAAGAGCATGTATAAACATACCAAAGTAACTTGTCAGTGTGTAGACACACACAGTATATTTATTATTTAAAAAAAAAAACATAAAAATTTTAAAAGAGAGCATGTTCCTGTTTTGAAAGGAGAACGTGGTCCAGTCAAGTTTCCAGAGTCGAATTAGGAGCTGTGACCGATTAACAAGTCATTTGGTCACATGCACATTTGTGGATTGGCTCACAGGAAAAGCATGTCGTTGTGCTGATGTAGAGCCTTACAGAGGTGCTACTTGTAGCTCTGACTTAAAATCCATGAAGCATTTGAGTTTCAAGCTCATCAGTGTGATACTTAAAGTTTATCAAAGTTAAAAACACCGCAGATATGTTTAAAAGGTTACAAGACAGAATTTAACAGCTTTGGAAAGTTATTCCAACTACTTTCTTTTACCCTTTACCACTAACTTTAGAAGATAAAAGCAGATGAAGCACACATGAAGGAATTCTTGCTGCATGTACTTGATTATCAATCACAGCATTCTAGCAAATGACCTGCTGCAGTCCATCTTACCCTGTACTGCAGGGTGTTAAAATTCAAATAGCCTTCAGAGTTTTAGACTAACAGCAGAGTATTTTGTTTCAGATGACTGAATGACTGAGTACTCTGAAGCCTTACAGTATCACTCAGTCAATTAACTTCATTTTGAAGGTAGAAAAACAAACCACGATATTTAATCACATTGCTATAGGTAACCAACAAAATCTCAGTTACATTCAACCATGTCCAAAACCTTTGTGTGTGAAAATACTCCCTGAAGAAAATATAGAATACAGATGATTCTGCTATATAACATTAATGAGCAATATTGTTATTGTGCAAATATGTTAAGTATGTCCAAACCTCTAAAGAAGCACACATCACTACAAAGGAACTGAAAACATCTGCTGCAAACCATGAACTAGGATGTACTCTGCTAAAGAAGGCAACTTCCTCTGTTGTTGAACCTTTCACTCATATCTTATTTTCTCTTTGAAACAGATTTTATACAAAGTGACCTTAAAGCAGCCCAAGTCCATCTCTGGTCAGGTGACTCCAACAAGGAGTCATCATCCAAAGCCTTGTGACACTGCTGATCATAACATCCTATTTAAAAAAAATACAGCATGCAAGGAGCAGCCAATCAAAAGAAAAGGAGGGTGGCATTAACTTTAACCCTTGAAAGCCAATCAGCAGTAACAATTGAAGCTTTTCAGAACTGAGTCATTTCTGTCATATTTCAGGCTTATAGAACAAAATGAATGGGTGTGCATCAGAAGTTAGCAAGGGCCTGGGTCTCTGACTATGCAGCTACCCAGAAACTATTATAATGGTGATCAAACCATGTCTTTGACATATATTGAGTCAAAACTCATGATTAAGGGTCAGGTGAAGAGGGGGCCATCAAATGTCGTTTTTATCAGGGAAAGATTTCACGGGAGAAGAGCTGAAATATCTCATTTCAGAGAGCATATGAACCGAGTGGCAGCACAGAGGCTCTGTACGTGATAAATAAGGAATACATTGATTATTTTCAACACGCAAAGCTTCCCTAAAATAAAATTAAAAAATAACACCAAAACTACCTGTCCTGTTCTTCACCAGTGCATTTACACTTGCAGACAAGACCACAGAGGTGCTAATTGAGATATGAGACAGAACTACCTAATGACTCCAATCCAACTTCAGAAGCGCTTCTACATCTTAGATTATAAAATGTGTAAAGAATAACTTTTAAAAAACTGATTAAACATGTAAACAGAAGGCAGCGCTCCTGTTTAATTCACGTAACATGTCTAAAGCTGCAGTGCAGTTACAGTCTTGGCACTGGAACGCAAACCTCAGCAGCAGCATTTTGAGGTGACATCCTCTCGTTTCCAAAATAGAAAACAGGAGCAGAAAATGTTACCCTGAGGAAAACTGAGAAATGTCAGCTCTGTTTAGGCTCCAAATACAAGCATGCACCATTTCTTTGTGCTTGCAAATTTCACTGCCTTGCACTGCCGAATGAATAAAGATGAGAAAACCAAATTGGCAGAGGAATTTCACCCAGTGAGGGATTCAGCTCTCTGGAAGGCCACAAAGGACCAGCAAATCTTTGTATTCAACACTTGGCCTCCTTTGATAATATAGAGTATGAATGTACATATGCATATATCACACGATATCACAATAATTCACACCTCATTTGTGTTTGTCGTTTTCTGCGTGTTTCCAGGAGCCAGACTTTGAAGTAGGAAGCATCAAATGAAACAGACACAGACACCCCCCCCCCGCACTGCCAGCTGCTGCCAGTTAACCCGCCTGACAAGGTGGGTGAGAGTGTGTGCGTTTGTTTCCACTGGAGGGGGAGCCTGTGGCTGTGGTTGATCCAGAACATTACAACACTGTGTTTGGGACCAAACCCCTGTCTACTTCCATTTCCTTTTAAAACAAGGTTTAGGCTGTTGGTCAGGTTGGTAATGAAATCTGCGTTACAAATATCTGTACTCGTTTTCAATCTGAGATACTGTGCTGGAGAGTTGTCGGGATTTCCTTGCATTCCATAGCTCGCTAAGATCATACATCCCTGAATTCAGCAAGATCTTCTCATGGAGGGATCCTGAGGGGCTCCTAGTGCAGATGAGATATATATATATAATCTTTGATCTTGATCTCTGATCCTATTCCCAAATCACTTCAACTGGCTGCTACCAGATGTCTGAGGTCGTCATCCTTTCGTTCAACATTCAGAAGGAGGGAGGCATCAATCCTCCATCAAATTCACGGGAAATTATTTAACAACAGTAAAAATTCAAATAAGGATAAAGTCAAAGCTTCAATTTAACAAGTTAATGAATACAATGCCACATTTTAAATGCTTTTAAGAAAATTAAAAAAAAATAACAGTTTGTTCCTCACCTTGTAACCGCACAACGATGGGTATCTTGAGGTCCAAGTCTCTTACAGCCATGATGATACCCTGGGCGATGACGTCACACCTCATAATTCCTCCGAAGATATTGACCAGGATAGCCTGAACCTGAGGACAAAAAGAAAAAAGAAACAACTTCATCAAAAACTGAATGTTGAAGAGCTCAGAGGGGTGAGCTACATCGAGCTTCAACAGTTTCCTGTTTAAAACCCTGAACAGCCTTTGGAAGCTGGCATCTTCTTACCCTCCTGTCAGAGGTGATGAGTTTGAAGGCCTCCGTCACCTGATGAGCTGTGGCTCCTCCCCCTACATCCAGGAAGTTGGCTGGTGTGCCACCATGGAGCTTGATGATGTCCATGGTAGCCATAGCCAGACCTGCTCCATTTACTAAAACAGACAAAGCCACTGGTCAAATGATTCAGGCAGACGATTTTCTTCTTTTGCACTGAATATGTACGGGGGGGAAAAAAACCCAAAACACTCATTGATAATAAGACTGACATTAAATGGAAACACATTACATATAAATCACAACTAAAAGAGCTCCTACTATGACAGTGCTGTCTTTACACTCAAAGTCTGGTCTGATAGTCGTCATAAAAAGCCAATTGGTGACAGGCTGGTAGGTTTTAATGGCTGATACTGATGCACCACTTTGAACTAAAGCAGCTCAGGTGTGTACTTCTAGGGCTGAAACTAACTGTACTACTTCCTTGTGTTATGTGAAAGTGGTTGGAAACGGTTTAATATCCATTTTGAAATCTTTAAATGATGACAAAACATTACAGACTCTCACTAAAAATAGTTTTTACACATGGAAACAAGACTTGGGTGCCACAGTGCTGTAAAATACCACCCCACTGTATTTATGAGTCCCTCGTACTTTGAGCCAGTAGAAAGTGTTAGAGCCAACAACAGCTACCGAGTTTGGATATTTTTAAAGACGCAAGAAAGAGAAAAAAAACACAGTGTATGATCTGCTTTTCATTGTTAAGAGACAGAATTGTGTCAGATAAGCTAGCACAGCACTGGACACAACACAGCAGCTCAGCTGGACCTGTGAACCGTTTCTGAGACGTTGTTTAAAGTAAGTCAAGAAAAACAAACAGTTCCACTAAAAGGCCTCAAGGTGACTTATTTGGTGGCTTTAGGTTGTGGGATGCTGTGTATGGAGTTGAGGTGGCTAGAAAGTTGAGGGGAAAAAAGACAGTAAACAGGAGACTGACAGACTGCAGGATATCGCAGGACAAATTAGCAAGCTCCTTTTTTTAATTTATAGATATCCATATCTTGTCCAGTTTGGTCATATTAATATCTCTGGGTTACCATTATAACCTATAACGTTCATTTTCTGTCTGGCATTACCGAGCATTATGGGAAATGCAGTACCCAATCAGGATTACAACTGAGAACATATCTCAAAATGACCACCAAATAAGTTCAAAAGCTATAATAAACACAAAAAATGAAACTACTAAATAGCTTTTCTGACATTTCGCTTGGACTGACCCAGACAGCCGATGGTTCCATCAAGACCGATATAGTTGAGGTCAGCCGTGGCAGCCTGCCGGTCCCGCGGGTCCTCTTGAGTCCAGTCCCGCAGTTCAAACACTTTCTGCTGGCGGTACGCTGCGTTGGAGTCAAAGTTGATCTTGGCATCCATGCACATCACTGTTGACAAGGAGACACATAAGATTTTGACATTAGAGGAAGATCAATGTCAGCTCATCTCTCCATCTGCCAGAGAGTCATGCCATGGAGTCTGATCAACTCTGGGACAGAGAGCGTTTCCAGCACTGGCACCAAGAATGTAAATGTGCAGCAGAGTTCTTTTTTTTTCTAAATGCATATCAACTCAGAAATGATCAAATAATTGAATATGTTGAGGAGAGCGTTTTGCTTATTAAAGAAACAAAAACAATTCAGGAGGATAACTCATTTCTGGCTACACTTTGCTAAAATGTCTGCCTTTGATTATGAGTACAAGGAAAAAGGAACACTGAGCTTCACTCAAAGTCATACCTGAACAGTAACCGCACGACAGAAGAACATTTCTAACATGTCTGTAATCAGCTGGCTACAGTGAAGGAAGCTAAGGAGCTTTTTTATATTTATATATATGATCATGCAGAAGGAGGACCTAACATCTCATCAGGCGCTCAGCATAGTGTTTGGCACAAAGGTCAGCGGTCTCCTTTCCTCACAACTGTGTTTGAGAGCTGTGATTCATGCCTGAGGAGCTCATCACTGTGCATCAGGCAAAGCCATTAACTCTGACTCACTGACAGAACAACACGCACACCTCAGACTGAAATCAATCTCCTCATCATCTCCAGGATGCTTTCATGGATAAACCCCAGTGCATTCCTCCTTGCCAGAGAGTCATAAGTCCGGTTAAATTAGTCTGTTCCGCAAAATGAAAATGACCTTTAGAGGCCAAGAGCTGCACAAGCATACCAACCACACACCATTCACATCTCAGTCAGCAAGACTGCAAACCTGGGCAAGACTAGCATGGCTCCATTTTTGTTTAATGTCAACTAGGCCCAGGAAATTAAAGAATCCTGATATTTGTCAAGAGGTAAATTCCCCAACGAATGATTCAACTGACAAGTCGTGTATGGTTAATGTCTGTCAGGGTCAACCCTCTTGAGCAACATGACTGTGCAGCTGGAAAAAAGTGCAACTCCAACCAATCTTCCGGAAGATTTGGAAAAGAGTGAAAGAGTGAAAAATGCAGCAAGAAGCTGATGCTGCCTCTCGCTTATATTTCTAGGTAAAAACAGACCCTAAGCATATGCACGTGGACAAAAATGATTACACAATTCAGTCCAAGTACGTATTTTTCGGAACAACATGACTGATAACACAACAGCAGTGAAGAGTTGTAGTTTAATGTGGAAGTAAAGCCTCTCTTTGCTGTGTAGCATTCACAGCAACAGCGCTTGTTACTATAATCACCATGAAAGCATTTCCTGGTAAAACAAAAGCTAGCAGAGTTTTTATAATCAATCCACCTGTGCAAAAAAACAAATTAACAAAAAATGGTGGTTGCCCAGTGATTGCACTGAATATTTTACTTTAAAGAAGGGTTGCAAACATTTGCCAAAAGATTTGGTCAGTCTGCCAATGAGCTGAACTCTCTGATGAGTCTCTTTGCAGTAGGAGACTCAACTGGTCACCGGGCAGCTTGTATTCTGGTTATATTAAAGTTACCGAGCACCAAGTCACTTCCCAACTAAACAGTCGTCCTGAAGCAACTATATCACTATTTATTAAAGGTGATTTCTGTGCATGGAGATGACCACAGGTCTGTGATTCCCAGGGATTTATCACAGTTAAATGGCATACTATCACAAAACAACCCCATTCAGTTGCAAACTGATAGCAGTGTCTTGATTCAGTTTTATCACCAAAGGTCTTTAATGTGACAGCCAACTGTGACCGATCACAGGTCTGATCCCCATCTTCAAAGCAACCATGTCCAAGGTAACAAGATTGCTACTTCATTGCATATGATTGCAATAAATGTGGTTTTGCAGCAGCCTCTCACCACTGTTTTCCTTAATAATATTATTTTTGGATTAAGACATAAAAAATGTAATTAATTTTTACGAAATGCCATCAATGAAATGAATGGCCATTTTTTTTTAGATAAACAGATTTACAAATCCTTAAAAAAAATCCCAAACTAAATTTGGGCACCAGCATGCTTTTCATTTGAATACATGCTGAACTGTTCAGTAAGACCAAACTGCTTTTTACATTTATTAAAATACCATAAAATAATGCCATTATATTCCTTTTTCAAGCTGTATTTCCTAACCTAACAGTGACTCTGATTTAATCTGTGTTCAAAGAGGATGTTTATCTTTTTTGTTCTCCAGACCACATGATTAAAAATTCAATGAGACAGAATGTGTGTGATAGTGAGTGGAACAGTGATGTTATGACTCAGAAGGGAGAGATTAGTCTGTTCTAACTCAGGTTGCATCTCTGATGGATTTTAACAGTTTCCTGCTACTGAACGCTTAAAATGTGCTCAAAACAACTGTAAACACATTTGTTTGCCCACATGATCAGGCTGTACATCACTCCAAACAGCTGGGTTAGGTTAGGGGAAAAGGCTAGACAAGACCCAGCACCACCCTACAAGAACAGAAACACAGACAGGTGCATGTGTGCGCGCCTACCAATGCCAGAGGAGTCTTCCACCATGGGATTGATCTCGACCATTGACGCGTCATACTTGATGAACAGATTGTACAGTTTGACCATGGTCTCGGCTGCCTCGTTCACCAGTGCTGGAGGGAAGCCCATCTTCTGAGCAACCTGCAGACAGATGTACTTTGTCAAAAAAAAAAAATCAGCAGCGAGCTATTTTCAAACAAATTGCAGAGAAATGCCCAAAGAAGGCATGTTTATAGCCGCGATCAGGGGGTCAAACATAAAGCCCAGGGGCCAAAAGCGGCTTGAGAAAAGACTGTACTCTGGCTTTGGAGAATGTGAAGGAGGAATTTTATACTTTTAGGTTCACAGCATTCGCTACATTCACACATCAAAGTAATTAAGTAATTAGAAAGAAATAAACTTTCAGTATTTTCATTTTTTTTTTGAATGATCAAATATCTTCTGTTTTATAACTACGAAGCAGCTTAAATTAAAGTGTACAGCTACAGAAAAAGTTCTGGTAGGTCATTGCCCAAAAAGTCTTGCTGACAGATTTACTTACCACTGCAGCATTTCTTTATCACGTAGAAACACTGAGCTTGTATGGTTTACTTACATTAAGATTAGTCAGGAATTAAATGTGTAGTAAAACTTCTGTACACTGAGAGAAAGGGAGTTGATCATTATCAACAATGGCATAAGAATCATAGCTTGATTTAACCATCTCCTCTAACTGTCCTGATACCTTTAACATCTCTCAGCTCATTGTTTTGGTTTTCTTGGTCACATATGTAGCACTTTGTCTCATTCACTGCTCCCACAGAGCTTAATCCTGTCGACATTAAGACAAAAGTGAACTTTCAAACAGAAACAGTAGCTTCGACAGGTCTCATTAGAAGCACGGAAAGCCTGCTGGGTCTGTAAGAACATCACGTTGTTTGAAAAATGTGGTCTTGGCGGACAAAAATAAATGCAGTGAAGGAATATCAATGCCGCTCCATCTAGTTTGAAAGCCCAGCAATCAACACCTCTTCTCTCTGTCAAATATATTGAGTCTCTGCTTTCACTATGACAACCAACATATTCAATATTCAGAGCCAAAGAGATGTGCAGCAACAGGGGAACAGGAATAAAGTGGAAAGGAAAAGAAAGACAGTGAGAAGTGAGACAGGGTGGAGAAATGAGTACATCTGTAAACAAAATAAATCAAGTCCACCAAAAACAAGAAAGAACTCCAGCATTAGCTTCTGAAAGTCAGCTGATAGAAAAATAACAAAATTCATGTTTCTTTTAAAGGTGATTAGAATAATTTCTTCATGAACTGTGTTCTGTTTGAATGATTTTCTTATTACTACAATTCCTCTAACTTTGTTTTAGAGAACTCAAGTCTAGAATCAGTGCTTAATGTTTCTGAGGGGAAGAAGCCATTGTTACTTTCATTTATACCAAAGCAGGTGACACTGGGTCTGTCCTGTTGTGCATCCTAACTGGACAGACTGATGTCCAGAGGTTTAACTGACTTGGTGTAAGACTGCGATGATCAAGTGTTCCCTTCATTTTATTTTGAGCAGTACATATTTACAGTGGTAAAAGACTGATGGCAGCTTCCATGAGAAGAGCTGTACAGATACAGCTTGCAACTCTGAAAGCACTCCTGCTGATGTAAGAAGAAACAGAGGGAGAACCTGATGAAGCCTTCTGTAATTATGAATTCCAAGTTGATTTATGTCAGGAAACAAGCAGACATAACGTGTCATGGCTACAGGGTGATCACTTCATCTCTGTAGTTTTTTTTTTTTAAATTGAAATTATTATTAAGATCATGTTTCTTTGTTGAGCACATTTTTTTTTTAAGATCGGTCAAGAAGAAGCTTTTGCAACGTGCAGATGCCGCGATAATGTTTCTTAAACATGATAGTTTTGTGAAAGCTGTACTGTTTTGAGTTTGTTCAGGTGATCTGGAAATAAACTACAGTTAATGGAGTTCATGATCCAAGCGTGATTGAGTGAACACACCTGAGTGCTCAGCTCAAGTGTGCTGAATTTTCCCCATAGTGCTTCTTACTTGTTCGGTACATGTAGCAGGAACATCCTCACTCTCTCACAAGTAGCTGCTCAAGTAGCTGTAAAGTACAGCAGCTACATTACAAACACTGCAGCATCATCTTGTTGACAAAAGGTAGACCACAGTGCATCAGAAAGCATTTGCAGGGCTTCACTTCTTCCACATCATGTTACAGTTACGTTGTCATTTTACAGCCTTATTCCAGAACGGTTTAAAATTTCACCTAGCGTTCATGCGCTCTGAACGGATAATTGGAGGTGAGCTTCCCTCCCTCCAAGACATCTACAGGAAGCGGTGCCTGAGGAAAGCGGGGAGGATCATCAAGGACTCCAGTCGCCCCAGCCATAAACTGTTCAGAATACTTCCATCAGGAAGGAAGTTCTGCAGCATCCGGTCCCGTACCAGCAGACTGAGAGACAGCTTTTTCCACCAGGCCATCAGACTGCTGAACACTTCATAGACACCTCACCTCCACTACTGGAACTTCAACATTATGCACTACATACTGTACATTAATGCCACTGTTTTGCACAATATCCAACTACAAACCTCTGTATATTTTATATATTTTATTTTATTGTTTACTCTATTTAACTTGTAAAATATGTATACACACACACACACACACACACACACGTAGAAAAACATTTAGTATACACATCCAGGAATGCATATACTATTATATATTGTACATATATTTATTAGTCTCAGATTTAGCCATCTTATATTTTGCTTGTTTTACGTTATTGTATTTTTGCACAACTCTGTTGCTTGTGAAGCTTGCACACAAGAATTTCACTCACATGTACTGTACCAGTGTACCTGCACATGTGATGTGACAATAAAAGTGATTTGATTTGATCTACCCTGATGGCTCAGATTAGCCGGGCAGCCAGCTCTAGGAAGAGTCCTGGTGCTTCTTCCACTTACAGATGATGGAGGCCGCTGTGCTCACTGAGACCTTCAATGCTGTTTTCTGCACCCTTCCTCAGATCTGTACCTCAATACAATCCTGTCTCAGAGGTCTACAGACAATTCCTTGGACTTCATGGCTTGGTTTGTGCTCTGATATGCACCTTTAGCTGTCGGACCTTATATAGACAGGTGTGTGCTTTTCCAAAGTCACGTCCAGTCAACAGAATTTACCACAGGTGGACTCTAGTAATGTTGTACAAACACCCGACAGACAATCAGTGGAAACATAATGCAGCTCAATTTTGTGTGTCACAGCAAAGACTGAAAAATTCTGTACATGTTATATTATTAATAAACTTGCAAGAATTGCAAGCAAAAGTTTTTCACTTTGTCATTATGGAGTATTGTGAATAGAATTCTGAGGTAGAAAATGAATGTAATCTATTTTGGAATAAGGCTGTAATTTGACAAAAGTGAAACACTGGGAATATTATCCTGATGCACTGCAGGAATACCTAACCCTACCTACACAACCTGTTGTCCTTAAAGAACAAGCTTACTCCTTCATAAGGACTAGAGCCAGTGTCTTATTGAGACTATTTTAAAATTAACTGATAACATTTCTTTCTTCATCGCCGTTATTGTTTGTACATCTCATGTGAAAATCTGATTCTGTAAAAAGCTCCAGCTGAATGTTTGTAGAGTCATCTTTGTAACTAAAGCAGAACACGGAGCATTATTTATCTTGCTTGGCACATCATCTAAAACAGGATAGGGTTTTTTTTTCTCTAACAGATTATTTTAAAGGCAAACATCAGACTGAAAAATAAAAAAAGTATGATTATTCTAAACCAGGCACCAATTTCATACTGTAAACATGAGAAAATATCAGCTGTTTTCTATAAGCCCTGGAAAATGATTATAACTTAGGCTCAGAGGAAAATTTGGGATGATGGGCGGAAATTTGTCATTAACGGACAACAAACTAAAAATTCGAAAAACCTTAATTATATCAAAAATACGTGTAAAAACATGCTAAGAAGAATGCAACAATTTCTCCAACCAATAACCTTGTTTTATGAGTTAACCTTCTTTAAACAGCAAAGAGCCCCTTGAGATTTAGACATTTTAGCACTCACTGCAGCATGAACGCACACAAACACACTCCCCTTTCTCTTCCTCCAAGTCTTCCTGCAGCCCAAACTACAGTGGGTGCACCTCAAGTCTGTTTTGTGACTTATTACATCTACCATTGATCGCACCTTGACAGCCTGCTCCATCTTAATGCCCTCCACGATGTCGATGGGCTCCTTCACAATGGCATCTGGATTTTCTGCTGCAACATCTTCGATGTTCACGCCACCCTGTGAGCTGCCAATCAGCACAGGGCCCTGTGGGACACAAGTGGGAGGGATGGGGATTTAAAATCTTAGAGTTACTGCAACATTTTTGTTTCGAAATCTGTGAAACCTAAGCCCCGGATAGACACCTTTACAAAGAAAACGGGTGATTTAATAAGAGTGATTTTATGCAAGGAGGTTTTGACTATCCTCTCCCAATAATTACAATCAAAATTACCTTCTGTTTTTTTACTGACCTGGCTGCTCTTCCTGTAATTTAAATCAAATCTGAAGCCACATCCTTCAGACTTAAAATTCATCTTTTTCTGTGTAAAAACTAAAAGAAGAATTCCAATGTCTTCAAACCTCTCATAACAAAAGCAACAAAGTAGTCTGTGCCTGCACAGTAAAATCACCATCCTCATAATAAAATGCAAAAGACAACAATAAACAATTTTATAATCATGTCATTTATCTTCAGATTATTTTCTCCAACCTTCACAAACCCTCAGATTTTCTATTTAAAGTCGTGTAAAACAGGAAAAAGAAGAAACTCTCAGACCGGAGTAAGTAATTTTCATTGTTGTTAGAAAAGCAACACTAAATAGTTTATAAAATATGAAAATACTTATTAATTTCACATTCATCTGATTGTCAATAGGCTAATCACTGAGCGCGCTGATTGCTTGCAGCAGCTTCATAAACACAGCTGCATAGAGGGAAAAAAAAAAAAAAAAGGTTATCCACACAAGTCTTCATGACTGCACATCCTAAGGGGGCTCCTCAGATCACAAACCCTGTTTAATACAAGGTTTTGTTCGAAAGACTCCTGAGCTGAGACCTCCTTATTTCTGCTGTGATGACGGCAAAATACTAAGAAGGAATTTCTGTGGTGAGCAGCATCTTTATCCCTTTCTCCATACAGTAAGAACACGTGGAATACATTACAATCAGAATTTTATATACTATATACAACAATGTGGAAACGTTTTAAACACATTATAAAATTCTTGCTCACCGCATAGTTCATGATTTATGACTGGATGATCAAGTTATAGACACAATCGACACAAATGTTAGCAGCTTTGCCTAATTATGAATAAAAACCCGAACATCCAGCAAAGCATACAGACTCACTGAACCCTGGAAAAGATCCAGTGAAAGTGTTAAAATTCTTAACACATATAAAAACACTGACTTTATACTAGTGTAAATCATGCTGAACAGTCTTTATCTTCAGTATTGTGCTGCCATCTAGTGGTCAAAATCGGATTTAAGCAGGACAAAATCTGTTAACTGAATCACGACTTCTTCTTTTTTTTATGAGTTCAATGAAGATGAGTCAAGATGCATTTAAGCACTGACAGATGAATCTATGTGTGCTTTGATTAATTTGGTCATCTGAATGAAAAGATGAGATGTGGAGGTGCGATGTACAGTTTCATTACAAAAACAACAGTTAATCTCATCTAAATCTTTAATTTCACATCTAATTTTAGTAGTTTATAAATTGCCTCTAATTTTTTCAGAGCTGATTTTTCTTATGATACAGATCTTAATTTAAATGAATGAGTAATGTGTTTAAGTAAACAAACAGCAGCAGCTTGAGCTTTTCACACTAGGCCTGCAGACTGTCAACAGCTCAACTAAAATGATCTGGAGCTCATTCAACCCCACGCAGAAACATCATGAAATTACTGTAGTGTAAGTGTACCTTCCCTAACACTTAAACTAATACTAATCACCTCTACACAGAGACTGATGGGTTATTAGTAACACTAAATCTGTGATTTTTTGGGGCCATTTAGGGGAAGAGCAAAGCCTGAACACCATTCAACATAAAAAATGTATCATCTCCTCTAAAGGTTTGTTTGAAAGGTTAATGCATGATTTACGAGACACAAAGAAATGGCCATTAAGAGCACTCCTTTTGAAATTTTCCACCTTTGTTGTTGTTTTTTTAAGGAAATTCATTTCCCCTGAACAGCATAGTTCTCAGCTGAGCAAACACATCATTTGGCTTCTTGTGGGTGCGCCTGTGTTCCCTCACCTGAAAGGACCTCTCCATGGTGATGGCAAAGTAGTATTCTCTGCGTGGGTACCTGCGCTCGCAGATGAACACCTGGTTGCAGATACGACCCGCCTCCCCGGTCTGCTTGGTGTACAGCTTTCGACCAATCATCTGAGATGAAATGTCTCGGGCTTCCTCTGGCCTGGAGATGAGGAGGAGACAGGAAATTTAAAACTTTTTAATGCATAACAAGCAAATTAGAAAACTTATGAAACAAATAGCTGTACCTGTATACCTGTAAGGACAATACAAACTAAAATTATTAAACAGCTACTTGAGTTTATTAACATTTATATCATATCTGTCAGCACTACTTTCCTGAGCTAGTCAGTAAGCAGGAGAATGAGGATGGACACAGTTACCAAGGTTGTAAGTGTAATCTGCTCCGTGTATTGTACGGAGCAGAAAAAGTCAATTTCCACTCTTTACAGCCTTCGTCCTCTAAACAACAGTATGCAAAGTCTGTAAGCAGTAACTTCTGAAAACAGATAATAGAACAGGCTTGTCAAACTCATTAAGAGGAAATGAATAGTCCAATTAATTATTTTGTTCTTCAGATGAAGTCTGGAGTTCATTTTTATCCATTTTTTAGTATTACTGCAGTTTGTTGCTGCCCCACTGGAGACACTTTGCCAAGTAGGCAGCCTTTTCCAATTACACAGCAGTCAGCTGTGCTAAATAAAAACTAATGAAGCACTTTGATGCCTACAGCAGCTCAGATATTCAATCAGCACTACAATCTGTAGGCATGAGAAAAAAACGAATCCTACCTATTAGGAGCAGAGGCGGGGTTTCCAAAGGTATATTAAAAGTAGGTTAATATAGTAGGAGACAAAGACAACCAGCAATGATTTTAGAGAAGCAGCTGTTGGTGAGCATCAGTCTAAGAGCCTAAGACCATTTAGAAAACAACTTGAAGTCCGTACGTCTGCAGTCAGAGAGATTAAACATTCAAGACCCCTCACAATTTTCCAGCAGTGGAAACAGCCCAAAAAACCCACAGCAAGTGCAGACTCTGCAATGCTAAGAAACTACAAAAAACACAGGAGCTACATCTCAGACCCTACAGACCGTAACAAGCATGTCAAAGTTCATGATAGCACAGTTGTGATGACTTCAAGTTTTTTACGTTATTGTTGCTAAAGAGCTTTTTATAAGCTATTGAATCGCAGGCTGTTTTTCACAGAAGTGCATAGAGTCGTGGGAAAACATTCTTCAAATGACCGTATATTCACTACTCAAGGTAGGGTAGGTTAAACTGATTAGCACGTAAACATGGTCAAACATTATTAAGGTCTCTAAACACAGCAATGTTTCTTCATACAGAAGGAGCTGAACTCCCTGGTGTCTTCCACCTCCCTAGGGTGATCGTTATTTACCGTTCTCTCTCCTACAATCTTTTCACTCCCATGGCCAACACAAACATTTCCTGTTGATCCTGTTTCGTGTTAATAATCTTAAACATGGGTTTTACTGTGAAGCAGCAAAACATACTCTTTGGTACACGCGTAAAGTGAGGACAGGATTTTATCTAAGATGTGTTTACATATAGACAATCGTAATTTAGCTGATTTGTTGCCAGTAACGACTTATTTTGTTTAATTATAAAGGGTGGGTTACTTACGAGTAGACGATCCTCACTCCTCCCTTTAGTCCACCTTCAAACGTCCCTTTTCCTCTGCCGCCAGCCAGAACCTGAGCTTTCACCACAAGGTCCTTCGAACCTAACACACACACACACACACACACACAAATTCATCAATTACACACTGTGATATTAAATGCACTAAATGTCATAGTAACTAATCATTTACATGACAGACCAGCCAGAAATGAAGTTTGTACATTGTTAATAATAAAGTAAAAAAAAATATCCTGGTTCTCTGTTAATATTTACACTCACATATTTCAAATGTGTGTTTGCTGCTTTATACATAAATGTACCAATCACTGCTCCACTTCAATTTTGATATTAACAGAAACAGACCTCCATTTGTATTCTTTCTGTAGTGACACAACGTTTAGATGGACTAATTTGATCTTATTCTCCTGTCACGCATAAACAATATGGCCAAAGGCTTACAAGACACCATGAGGCTTTTGCAATAATGGCTGAGTTTAAAAGTGAGAGGAAGGACTCCAGTTGGCAACTAACGCACCCTTGACCGTTTCAGAAATATGCAGTGACACAAAGCTCTGTGTCATAGTTGAGTTTTATTTGAAGGTTTGTTCACAAGTTTGGCTTTTGAACCAGTTTTCTTCAAATCTAGGTGGCAACTTATCACTAACTGTGCTAATGTTTCATGATAATAGTTAGTTATATACACATTTAGCTTTAACTTCTTTAAGAATAGCATGGCATGCTGTAGCACACAGCATGTTTCAGTTTTTTCTGGGACTGGGGGGGGAGCTCAGTTTAATCATTTCCTTTTATCTTATACTTGGCCTTGGCACACCCTATCACAGTTCATCCTCTGTCTCAAACAAGCTCTTTGGAGCAGTCTGTAAAATTTCTTAAAAATTTTGATGAAATTAGAAAAGTGAAGGACAAAAGAAGACGTGGCAGCAGCCAGTGGAACCACTCAGCCTCAGCAGATACACCTAACGTATCAAAATTTTACATCGTCTTATTCTTGAGTTAGCACATTCACAAATGTGGGCGTCCAAGCCTCCTCAGAAATTGTCTCAGTCAGGGTAGCTGTCAAGGAGTCATTCTTAAAGAACATAAACAGCAAAATCAGACATAAACTGTACTGAAAATCAGTGGCAGCAGGTCTTATGGAGAGATCAGTCCAGATTTTACATATTTAGTTCAAATCATCATTAATATATACAGGGGAAAAATACAACAGTGAATGTCTACAGCCATCTATAGAACATAGTGGAGGCTTCGTCATGTTTTGGAGCTGAATTTCATCCAGGGATGCAGGAGATCTTGTCAAATTGGTGGAATCATGAAAAAGTACCATCAGATTTTGATCCACTGTGAAATAACATCTGGAAAACATCTGACTATCAATAGCTTCATTATCAGCATGACAATGACCACAAACACACTGCCAATGCAGTGAAAGCATGCCTGTATGGACAAACAGACAGTGGCCTTCCAAGAGCACAGACCTTAAAATTACTGAATCAGTGTGGGATCATCTTGTCAGAGAACAGAAAAGAAATGTCAGAAAACATCCAAAGAAGAGTTTTGAATGTCCTTCGAGAAACCTGGAGAACAATTCCTGAAGACTACTGAAAGACATGACAAGAAATCTTCCTAAGAGAGTTCAAGCTGTGCTGAAGAATAAAGGTCTTTATACCAAATTTTGGCTTTAAAGCTTCTTCTTTTTGGCTTATATACTGTATTTCCATGTATGATTGAACATGTGTCAATAAATAACTGTAAACGCTTCCCATTTTCCTAGCAAAATAAAGAAATTAGGGATGGCTAAAAACTTTTGCAACATACTGTATATGCCCCCCCCC